CAGTGTTTTTTTTCTCTGGCGGCTCTAAGATCTTTCCTTTGTCTTAGCTCTCAGCTGCTTTGCTATGGTATGCTGTGTTAGCTTTTAAAATGGACACAATCTCTACCTTCTGGTATTCATGCTCTTGTATAATCCCTTCTTGAGAGTGGGCCACGCTTATTAAACTGCTTCTAATGGGTAGAATATGACAGAAGTAATTTGTTCTTGTTAATACATTTAAAACATTTTAAAAAATATTTCTTTATACAAATGTTTTAATTGATCGCAATGGAAGGGTTACTCTGATACTGCTGTTCCCACAGGGCAGTCTTAACTCTATATAGAGCTAAAGATGATTTTTATTTTCTTGTGATGCTGCTATGGAAGAAGGAACTCTTTCAGCACACCTCTAAATAAGTGACTTTCTAGGTGAAAGGATACTGTCCATTTCTTCTATATTGCATATAGGCTTTTGCCCAGAACACTAATTAATTGTTTATTCAGATATTTCCTTGTTTGTGCTTCTGCAGCACTTACTAAACAAGTATATGTTTATTGAAACATCATTTTATAACTATTTAAGCCAGTTATAATTATTTTCATAGTTGTATGACTTTATTATGTCATTTAAAAATTTATGCCAAAAATTATGAAAACTTATTTAAATTCTTTTGAAAGGCTACATATATTATGGAGGACTTTAGCCCGCGAAGTCCCCAGATTCGCTGCAAATGGAAGTTGTTCCAGACACTGTTTGCCTGTCAAGGAAAGGGGAAGGCGATTCCCTCTAGTGGGGAATGCTCCCAGCCCCTGTGTTCAATGGCTTTTATTGAAAGTGTTAATAGCGGGGAATAGGTAGCAGGAAAGTATAGGTAATCTAATTATATCAGTATCTTAAGTTTACAGAGTGCAGGTGATATTTGAGGAAGACAAATGGCAGGAACACACCAATTTGCATGGGTCTGAGATGAGTAGACATGAGAGAGCCCAAAACAGTTTAGGGTCAAGGTCCATGAATAATGTAAATATCCTTCCCAGCATGAGCAGGTTGTCTGGTGTGAGAATAACAGAGTTTGAGGGAAGGAGAAACAAAGCATGCTTCAAGGAGTGTGATTTACTTCTAGGCCTGATTTCCTCTGAGGGCCCTTGGAGCTATTATGAGTCCTGCCTATCAACCACATTACTGGTTTTCCAGCCAAGACTTACGTAGCCTTTCCCAAACCCCAGCTTGCACAGGCCTACAGTCCCTGATACCACTCAAAGTGACCCCCAACTATATATTGAATTGATGAAATTATTCTTCGTGAATTGGTTGTATTTGATGAAACTGTAAAACATTGAGGAAAGATTTCATAAATATCTCGAAGATTTTTTTAATGAAATTGTTCCTCAAGTGTCTAAATTCTTGCTCCATGTTGCTCCATGTTCAGAAACCGAATTTGAAAATAATACAATATTATATGAATGTGGTTTATGCAAGAAAGAAGGTAGAGCCCTTCGATAATTAAGAAATTTGTGAATGAATATATATATATGTTCTAAGTTAAAATAATGTTCTTAAGTTATATATTTGTCCTTTGTATTTCTACTTTATCTGACCTATCAGAGTAACTGAACCAATTACTGGTTTTGATGGCATCTTACAAGGGCCTCACCTACACTTCTAAATACTAAGATGGTGTTTTGTTCTGCCTTTTCACAAAGAATTTGACAAATTTTTAATGTAATACTTTGCACAATCTTTATTTGAGTTAGGTTTTAGGTATTAGATCTAATTAAAACCTATTAATTAAGTTATATGTTTATTTACTAAGAATATAAAATCCTTTTTTAGACTGAAATACTCAGCACAGAAGTTAAATAGAGAACACATAATTATTTGGTGACTCTTGCTCATTTACTAGCAACTCCCATAAATTATACAGATTGTTTATCTGTATGTAAAAATCACCAGATAGTTGTTTTCTTCTGTTTATTTGATATTTTATAAACCAAGATGGGAGTCATATTCTTTTTATTAAACATTGATACTGTGTCTGCTATGAACAAACCTATCAAGGAAAATAAGATCCATTCTAATTTTTCAAGGAGATTAGTTCAAAAAGCCATTTTAATAAAGTGATAATAGCAGAATCAGAAGGGGAGTTTGCGCTTTTTTAAGGGTATAAATTTGAAAATTTAAAAACAAGGCTTTTGTATGACATTATAATTAAAATGCAGTTTTTACATGTGTGATCTCTTTAATTTTTGCTTTTACATTTATGTGAACCTCAAGTGCCCAGAGGAGCCAGGAAGAGTCATTGACATGGGTTAAACCTTTAATATATTCAGAGAAAATACTGACAGTTAGCACTTTTATGCACTCTCATTATAATATTGTACTTGCTCTGGTCCTGTAACTTTACTCTTGGAATGCCCTCAACTCCTTGATTTACATAATATCAGAGCTTATACTTCATCAGGTAACTTCGTATGGATAGACTCTCTGTTCTTGGAATGTGATTTGTTCATTCTGGCTTACCATAGAAGAACTCCAAATATTTTTACCTATGAAATATATCAGAGATTTTACCTGTGAAATATACCATAGGTCTTCGTGTGTGGGATCCTCAGCCTGTGACAAATTTCATTATGCCATCTGTTTCAACCTGAGCAGTGCAGCTTCTGCTGGCAGACTGTATTGAAGTTTCCATGGCTCAGGATTTAAAAAAAAATCAGGTTTGGCATAAGAAGCTTGCTTTTGAAAAAATAATAATTGATCATACCTGCTGTAGATTTAAAAATAAGCATTTGAAAGGATTCCCAAAAGCCTCTTTTAAGCACATTGATCTCTTTTTTTTCATCTGTGGTTGTAGAAGACATTATAGTGGTTGAATTATTGGTAACTTTGGTAACTTACTGATTTTTCTGCTTCATTTTTAAGGATAAGTAACATACTCTTAGGCTAAGTGGGTGATGTGAAATACTTTGATTACTTCTATAATAGAAGCTCTTTACCTAATACTTTATTTGCAGGAATGATAAATGACTATATATAAAACAAAGATGATTAAGAACACCATGATGAAAAAAATATAGCACATTTATACTGTTTCTGCTATATACTGTGTGTGACTTTGTTAATTTTGTCACCTGGAAACTGAAAATAGAGATATTTGGAGGGTTATTGGGGAGATTTTATCAGAGTAGATCCTTATAAAATGAATAAACACATTCTGCAAATACATGTTGAAAGCCAATTTTGTGCTAGCTGGGCACTCTTTTGGAGAATGAAGCTGTACTAGAGAATAAAATAGTCAAATTCTTCCACTGGAGAATTTTTACATTCTAGTCTGTCTTGGCAGATTGGTATCAAAGCTCCATGACAATAGGCTACATGCCAAGTGGTACTAAGCACCATGAAGAAAAATAGGGCAGGGTGAGCTCATGAAGTATAATGGTAGGATGCTTTCTTAGATATGGTTGTCAGGGAGGCCTTCTCTGTGGTGACATTGAGCACACTTGAATGAAAGAAATAAGTGTGTAGCTACTTGGGAGAAAGATGTACCCAACTGGTAGAGGTGGAAGCTTGACAATTTGAGGAAAGCTGAAGTGGTCACTATAGCTGGAGCAATATGGGTGAAGGACAGAGTGCTAGGAGATGAATTTACAGAGTGATCCCAAAACATCATTGGTGTAACCTTTCTGATAAGTAATTGTAGATAAAAAGTTAGATTCCAGACACCCTATAAAAATATGAAATCAGGATTGACTGCACTGTTTTGTGAATTGCTTTGCTTTAACTTGGAGCTCTTTATAACAGGCACACAGAAGTAATTATAGAGTATTTTCCCCCAATGGAATTATTTTTTGGCATTGTTTATTTTTTTCATTGTATCTGGAATTTGCCAAACTGTGAGGTTTGAGGGCACAGTCTTCCTGCCTGGCAGCTCTGTCCAAGATTTTTGAGACCAACAGCAAAGGAGTTAAGTTCCAAATATAAAGTTAGAGGGAAGAATCTACACAAGATCAGACTCATGTCTGAATCAGCTGCAAGTTCTGGAGGTTCCCAAAACTACCCTCAGAGTCAGCATTTCAGTAGAAAGACCTTCAGAACTTATGGAAAGCTATTAAACTCATGCTTTTGGTCTACTTTATGAAAAGGATACAGGTCAAAAATTATCCAGATGAAGAGACGTAATGCAAAGCCTGGTAGGATTTCAAATCAAAGCTTTTATTTTCCTCAGGAAGTGTTCCCTTCCCCCAATTCTATGCATGACAGTATGCACAAAGTATTGCCAGTCCAGCAAGCTCATGTGAGCTCTGTGTTGAAAGTTTTTATTTGGGCATCATTTTATGCTAGTTTGATTGACTGCCCATATAGTTTAACACAGCATCAGAATTGAGCTGATAGCATGTGACCTTGGGGCCCACCATGAATAACAAAGACATTCCTATCATCTGGGAAATTCCAAGGCTTTAGAAGTTACCTCCTAGGAGCTGGGGACAAAAGCCAGACCTCTCTTTGGGGAAAATCAGATTCTTTACTACAGACACTGTTTTAAAAATTCAAGTAATATGGAAATCCCCGAGATCCCATTTCTTTGGAACAACTAATGTTATATTGGTTGTTTAGTATATATTGTTTCAGATGTTTAATACATATATAAACATATTTTTTGGAAAGTACATTGAATTCTATTATACATATTATTCTATAGTCGTTTTCACTTAAAATTGTGTATATGGATGTTATGTTTTTGCATGTATTTTAATGAGTACCCTGGAATTGAACACTGGAAGTAATTACTTTAAAATTAGTTTTTATCTAATAAAAAGTGCTGCATTGCACATTTATATACATGTCTTTGTGTATTATTCTGATTTTCTCCTTAAAATAAATTTCTTGAAATAGAGTTGCTGAATTAAAGGGTATGGACAATTTGAAATTTGGTACATACTTTATTATTACTCCTCTTGGGATGCTTTTGATGAACTAGGTTGTGGAACTTCAAAATTGTTAATTTCTATATTACTCTTAGGTAAACATTGCAACTTCGGCGATTTCAAATGTAGAATGTGCCCATGTTCCACATCTCAGCCCAGCTGTAATTACTACTGTGCAAAATGAATCCTTTTTTTCATCCCAAAACAATGGGAATCTGGAAGCACTTACAGCTTCAGGCACTCCACACATCAATGGGAAACATGCTTGTGATGACTTTGATCAACTAATCAAAAATATGGCCCAGGTAAGATTATTTTTTTCCTGTTATGATAGAATATTCAATATCTTAAGACTGTAATCAAGTCCTGGATAAATTTAAGAATATTAACAAATTTATATTATGTAACATGTTAAATATATATTAAATATATATTTTATTAAATGTAGTATTAAATATATTCCCATTAATGAGGACATTGATAACATTTGAAACAAATTGGAATGAAAATGAAGATTTTGTGTGAGTGTGGGTGGTTCGGAAATTTTTCTATTTCATTTTTTTAAATTAACAAATTTAAACTGAATATTATATTTTATGTTCCAGAAATATTCTTCAGGATAAATAAAATGTCTCATTCTAGGTGATGAGGAAGAAACATTATCTTAGAAAAATTTTTTTTAATTTATTTTTTTTAAAATGATGCCACTAATAAGATGACTAATAAGATAAGTGCAGTGATTGGCTTTGGTTTTATTTCTTGCTTTGTTTTCGGGACAGGGTCGCCACATAGAAGTGTTCGAGCTCCTCAAGCCTCCCTGCGGAGGCCTCGGATTCAGTGTTGTGGGACTAAGAAGTGAAAACCGGGGAGAACTGGGGATTTTTGTGCAGGAGATTCAAGAGGGCAGCGTGGCTCACAGGTGAGACTGGCAGGCTGCTTCTCTGGTTTTGGTACCACATTCAGGTGGTGTCAATCCCCTTGGGAGAATTTAGAGAGGCAAAAATGAATAAAAACCCCTAAAACTTCAAATGTAATGATATCGAGTTTTTTTAAAAAAATATATCATTACCATTACAAAGATAAAAATTAAGTCCTGTTGAAAAGAGAGTAGCTTTTAAATATACACAGACTTAATCACTTTTTAGTAAGAAAAGAGAAATTTGATTAGGATGGTATTCTAAATGTTAGTAAATGGTCTTTTTTTGATTAAATTTTAAAATTACTATTTAGAAATTCAAGCCATGTAATTCAGACTATACTTTATTAATATACTTAAAGTAACAAGTAAATATATGCATCTTTGCTTTTATTTGTACAAGATAGGAACATCCAAGATGTAGGTTGAGTGGTTAGCTGAAAGAAAAGGACTTTCAAATGGGAGGAATTGACTAGGGGTAGATCAACTAAAGCCAAAGTGTATGTTTTTTTAAAAAAAAATTTGTATTGTACTTTTCCATTATCATTTTGCCCCTCCTCCAGTCACCGTACTGTTGTCCATGTCCATGAGTCCTTTTTGCTTGAACTCTCTCTCCTTCCCTTGTCTTCCCCAGACAGCTGTCATCCTGCTCTCCATCTATGAGTCTGTCTCCATTTTGCTTACTAATTCAGTTTGTTCTTAGAGTCCACATATGAGTGAAACCATAGGGTGTTTGTCTTTCTCTGACTGGCTTATTTCATTTAGCATGATGTTTTCCAGGTCTGTCTATGCTGTTGCAAAGAATAAAATTTTCTCTTTTTTTACAGTCGAGTAGTATTCTGTTGTGTAAATGTCCCATAGTTGTTTTATCCACTCATCTACTGATGGACACTTGGGCTACTTCCATATCTTGGTGATTATAAATAATGCTGCAGTGAAAATAGGGGTGCTTATGTTCTTCCAAATTAGTGTTTTGGGTTTTTTCAGATATATTCCCATAAGTAGGATTGCTGGGTCAAAAGGCACATTCATTCTGAACTTTTTGAGGTATCTCCATACAGCTTTCCTCAGTGGTTGCACCAGCCTGCATTCCCACCAGCAGTGTAAAAGGGTTCCCCTTTGTCCATATCCTTGCCAGCACATGGTGTTTGTTGATTTATTGATGGTAGCTGCCATTCTGACAGGTGTGAGTTATATCTTATTGTGGTTTTAATTTGCATTTCTGTGATGATTAATGACATTGAACGAAGTATATATTTTCAAATATAGAAGTGCCATTAAGAGCTTTAAACATATGGACATTAGAAAATAGAATAAAGATAACCTGAGAATATATGCCAGAAAAGCTGTCATTGTCTAGGGAGCTGTCTAATATCTTTTACCCCCTTTTCTTTCTTGATAGAGATGGAAGATTGAAGGAAACTGATCAAATCCTTGCTATCAATGGGCAGGCACTTGATCAGACCATTACACATCAGCAGGCTATTAGCATCCTTCAGAAAGCCAAAGATAATGTCCAGCTAGTTATTGCCAGAGGCTCACTGCCTCAGCTGATCAGCCCCATCATTTCCCGGTCCCCATCTGCGGCCAGCACAATTTCAGCTCACTCTAATCCGGTGAGTATATAAGGTGTTCACAAGGAACAGAACATATTTTTCCTGTTCTTTTTTGATTTTTTACAGGTTTCCAATTCCTTAGGTTCTTTGTCTTTATTGAGATTTTGCCTTTTTATTCTTTTAGTTCTCCCTAGTCTGGAATATTTTTATTTAATTGTAATTAAGTTTCTGGCTTCTAAAACAGTTTTTACTATTTTTATGAAGTTTATTTTTTATTTGACAGGATGCCTCAAATGAAAAAATATTTAGTCCTTTAACAAAATTGACTATCTGTAGACAGATATAATCTTGATTTTGCTTTGTAAATTGTAGTTTACACAGGGTGGGGCAAAAGTGGGTTTACAGTTGAGAGTGTATGAAATGCAGAGTTCATTCATGTGTTATTATTTATTAATTATTCCATTATTTTTCTATAGGAACAACTGTAAACCTACATGTGCCCCATCCTGTATTGTTAGTTAGGCTCTTGGTGACTTTAAGAAGTCATCTAATTTAGAATCCTGCAATGCAGATAATGCAGAAAATATTTTTAATAGGTAAAAGGTTCTCCTTGATCTCTTTCTTTTTAAAAAATGTTATACAAAGGATCTCACAAATCATCACTATCTTTACCTGGTTAAAGGTCTCTATAATGATGTACTGATAATTCGAGAATGATTATGCAGTAACAATCTGTTGAAAGGGAAGTGTACTAAATAAAAGGTACATTTCTTAAGGTCCATTATGTTTGCACTCAATCCTTTAATACTACTCACAAAATAACATTCACAAAAACCTCAGCTACAAGGAAAATTTTAGCTTTTCCTAAGTTTTTTTCAGGTACTCATAGGAGTTTTGTTTTCAGGTTCACTGGCAGCATGTGGAAACTATTGAATTGGTGAACGATGGATCGGGTCTGGGATTTGGCATTGTAGGAGGAAAAGCAACTGGTGTAATAGTAAAGACCATTCTGCCTGGAGGAGTGGCTGACCAGGTAAGCCACTTCCAATGGGTCTTTTATACTGTTTTATCAAATGGTATGGCTTTATCTTTTAAATTATCTTCAGGAAAGAGAAACTTTGGCCTTAGGTAATACCAAGGGAGATGAGTTATAATATTCTCTTTGCTGGGCTGTCCCTAAAATGTTTTCTTAGACCTGGGAAGAAATGCCCCTCAAATGAGAACATTATTAAGTTAAAGTAATTTTGATCATTGTAGAGGTAGCACAGTCCTTTATTTTATGATCATAAATCATATTTATAAACCTAGTCATCTGTTTTATGGTATCTAGATATTATTGCAGAAAGAATACTTCATTATAGTAGGAAAGAAACAAGGTTCATCTTGTCCCATTAGTGATGGGGCACTGGTGTCATCTTTGTATATGAAGCACAGTCTGTTTTTATCACTTAGAGTAGCTCATTACAGAATTGCCATTTATGCTGTGTGACATGTTGGAATATATATAAGAAAACAGTAGTTACTTGTTATGATTTATATTTTAATTAGAATGAGTATTGCTAATGTAAGTATCTTTTGCCTTGATTATAACAATTTGTTTATGAAGATATTTGCTTTGGCATGTATATTTGAGTTTAGGAGTCAGATTTATCAAATATTTGTCATATTCATAAATGAAAGTCAAATTTTTTGGCAGCGTTATCAAGAGAGGTATTGACAGTAACACAATAGTTTGCAAACTTTGTTTCTTTTCAATATTAGCCAGTATCTAGTGACATCAGTGAGATTCCCCTGGTTAACAGGCTTGTGATAAATAAGTTTTACCTTCAGTATAGAGGTGCAGAGTCCAATACTGTGGGCAGTTGCCACATGTTACTTTTAAATTCAAATTTAAATTAATTAAAATTAAATAAAATTACAAATGCAGTTGCTTGGTTGGGCTAGTGACATGCTGCTTATGTAGCTGCCATATTGGACAATGTAGAACGTTTTCATCACTGCACAAAATTCTAGTGGCAACAGTTTTTATGGAGGCTTACAAGACAGCTTTTCACTCTCCTCCTCCATCTGGATTTTTATCTCACCATGATTTCTTCTGCAAATAAAATCTTTAGAAATATTTATAAGTTAAATGGCAAGGCAAAAAATTGTGGTTATTAATTCAGTGCTTTCTTGTGGTTCATACCTTATTTTGAACAATATGTATTTGTATAGTTATACTTCATCTTTGCTTAATGACATTTTCTCCTCCTATATCTCAAAAAAATTCACAAAAAGGCTTAATATTTTCTTGCATCTAGTGGGTAGAAATCAAATTTACAAGCTCATATTGACTATCAATTTAAGGAATATTTTTGAAATTTAGTTACTTAAAAACATTTAAAATCACAACCATATTTGGTGTCCCATGATTGATATTTCCCAGCATTTTTTAAAATTATTGCCTTTCCCTTACTTAGGATCGCTCTGATGGTGGTAATAATAATAAAGCCTAATAAAACAATCTCTTTTTATTCAGCATGGGCGATTATGCAGTGGAGACCACATTCTAAAGATTGGTGACACTGATCTAGCAGGAATGAGCAGTGAGCAAGTAGCACAGGTCCTCAGGCAGTGTGGAAACAGAGTGAGATTGATGATTGCCCGAGGTGCCATAGAAGACCCAGCAGCGCCCACTATGTCCTCATCCCCATCTTCTACGCCAGAGATGCGGGTATGTAGTTAAAAACAGTTAATTGGGGAAGTCATAGACAATAGCTCTGCAATGACAGGATGTTTACTTTAAAACTAGATTTATTAATGTTTATTAATGATAAAAAATGAAACAAAATTCAAATGTAGAGATGTTTTGGCACAAAAAATATGTTTTTGGGAATAATGTGTAACAGATTAAAAATAAATTGTGTAAAAAATGCTTGATGACTATTTTATGTTTTTCTCTAAGTAGCACATGAGAATAATGTTTTGCAGTATGGAAAAGTTTTAAAGAGTTACTCGTTACTAATACCTAAAGCATGGGCTGTAAGTTTTAATCATTCCCTTTCAACAACTTTCTTTATAGTGTCTTTATTTTGGGGGTGGTAGTGATGAATAAAGCTCACTAAAATCTTTTATATTATTATTTTAAGGTGTGTCACACAGCTGTTACCTGATTTGTAATGAGAAGTCACTATTAACAACAGTTACTATAAATTTTTTAAAAGTTATGCTTTTTAGGTTGTAACAAAAGCTTTCTTCATATGTATAGCATTACATCTCTATTTTTAACATGATATGAAAAAAGCTAAACGATTTCAGAATTATTAGAATGTGGTTATCACAAATAGTTGAGGTCACAAAATGGTTATAGTGGATAAAGTAAAACTATTTTTTTTCCAGAAATATCTTAAATATTTAAGAAGAGAATCACACTCAATTTTTAGATAAACTTTATAGCAAGTGTTAAGCCCTACATTCCTTTGTCATAGATCTAAAAGCATCTATGTGATTTTTTTCTATTAAAGTATTTTCTAACCAATTGCTTCAAAGTCTTTTTTTAGTATCCTAACCTCCTCCACAAGCCCTTTGAAACTTTATTAGAACACTTGAAATTTCCATGATTCTGTTGTTCTTAGGATTGAGTTTGGTTGCTATTTTTTGCAGAGAAAGAAGTAAAGAAAAGCTTGTTTATGAAAGTATTTAAGTGGCATTCTTTGTGGTAAACAAAAACATTTTATTCAGCAACATATAAATGAATGCAGTACCGAAAACCATTTGATGTAATTGAAAGCTTAGAAAAATATCTGTTCTGTGCATATCATCATTTCTGAAGCTTGTGCCCCTTTTAAAACCATTCGATAGTCAAATTGCCACCCTCTAAAATAGCACTCGCATAAGTCTTATTAAAAATAGAAAACACATTTGTTTCAATTGAAGCAGATTTCATCTTGTCATTTTCTTGTAATTATCTAAACTTTAAACTTTTTGCTAAGTTTGCGCAGATAATTATGTGCAGTGAGAACACTAAATGAAACTTTACCATAAATTTATATCTCATTTAGGTGGACTATCAGTGAGATATGGTCAGAGTTTCCATGACGAAAATCAGAGAGCATTACCAGCTAGCCACAACCAGCATGTCCATCCAAACACTTAGCCTTCATTCTGTGTGACCTTGTTAGGGTTCTCTGTGGAATCTGCTGACACTGCACTAGTATCTAATAACAGTAGCTCACTGAGAACTTATTTCATTAGTCCATAAATGCTTAATTCTAGGACCCCTGCGCATGAGGCCAATATATCATTAATAACAGTGATACATGTCAAGAGAACACTGCCTCCAGCTGTCACTAAAGGACTGAAGGATATCAAAGCAAAAAGGCACAATTTCCTTATAAATAGCTTTTAAAGTAAAGTATTGAATATACAAAACAAATACAGGACGATTTTAACCAGATCATTGGTGAATTTCACTGATTCCTTAAATTATCAGCCTGTTAATGATATGTCTGAGGGATAGATTGTCATATTCAATGGTGTTAGAATCAGCTATCAACTTAGGATAGTAATAGTAGCAACAAGTCCTGAGGAGACAAGATGGCCTCTGCAGTCCACTAGGGACTTTACACATAGCATAGCAATTAAGGGCAGGGGTGCAGCAACCAGCCAGTCTGCATTTGAATTCTGTCTCTACTAGAATGCTTACTGTTTGTCCTTGAAGAAGTGTATGTTCCTCAGTTTCCCCAGAGAAAAATTGACAGCAATTGTGCCTACCTCATAGGCTTGTTCTAAGGAGTAAATGAATTAAGATATGTCAACTGCCTGTTAAATAGAAACTTCTCAATATATATTAGCTAGACATACTAGTTTATTTTTGGTAGACAGCTTAACAATGTGTTGCTTAGAAAAATTCACTGACAAAGCTAGATTTGAACTTGTTGATCCAAATTCAAAACGTGAGTTCTTTCAGCCACCTAACTTCTTCAAAACTGAAGATGAGCCATCTCTGATAATAGAATTTGTTAATAAGAAACTGTTTGAAATGTAAAGTTTTGTATACACAAACAATAATGTATTTCTCTGATAAGGGCTTGTGTTCAGCTTTGCTGCTGGTATACCTTATTAGTACAGATTTGATGCTAGTCCATGTTATCAAGATTGAAGGAGTAATCTATACTATAATCTTCTAGCAGGGTTCTCTGGCAGCTAATTACAGTTTATTATTTCCAAATAAAGGCTGTAGCTTTTTGAGTTTATCATGTTTGTTTCCATGTTTATTTTTTTGTACATTTATTTATCAATTTTATTTTAGGTTGATGCTTCCACTCAGAAAAGTGAAGAAAATGAGACATTTGATGTAGAACTCACTAAAAATGTCCAAGGATTAGGAATTACCATTGCTGGTTACATTGGCGATAAAAAATTAGGTAGTTTTAAACATTAATACTTTTTTTTTAAATTTTACAATTGTCTCCAGTATAATTATCTTATGAAATATTGACTCAACATTATGTATTTTTATATTGTTGGAGGAACAGATTGAAAACGTTTCTAGGAATAACTGAATGTATGCAGTTGTTTTGTATTTAAGACAGACAGAATTATTATTCTCTAGCTTAAGTTTCTACTACTAGTTTTGTTTGTGTGGCTTATTGATTTATATTTGTTTCAAATGAGTATTTTATATTTAGATAATGGCTGGTGGATATTCTTTATTATTTATCTTTTTAAATAGTAAAAATAGAACTATTTTCAATTTAGAACCTTCAGGAATCTTTGTAAAGAGCATTACAAAGAGCAGTGCTGTTGAACACGATGGAAGAATACAAATTGGAGACCAAATCATAGCAGTAAGTAACACATTTAATTTTATTTTGTTAATTTTCATGGTTGGTTGAAAAATGCATTCCCCTAGTTTAGTCAGTTCTGAAAACTACATTTAGCTGAGCACATTAACTGACTTTGATGATTTAAAGCTCTCATTACAATTACCAATTCTATTGTTTTGTGGAAGTAAGAGCATTACATACTGATTTCAGTTCTAAAGGCGGGACTTCATTCTTGAATAGTTTCTGATACATCTGATTTTGGGTTATAACATTAATATTATAGTTATACTTTAGTTACATTAATATCATAGTTACACTTTGGTTGCAGACACTTCAAAGAGCACATGTCAAAACCTTTAGTTTACTTGAATGTGAATTTGGAATGTATTTTGTTTTTTTAATTTAGCAGAACGACACTGCTATTGTTGACTCCATGAACAGGGCTACATTTAGCTCTAACAGTATACGGGAACAAAGAAAAGTTCCAGCCTATCTTAATTAGATCAAGCCCATCATTGTTATTTTAGTAACATCACTATGTTTTGATCATATGATCTATTCAGGGCAGTGTACAAAAAAGTCTAACTTTCAGTTCAGTGTTCAGTGGAAAGGGGACTATGTAACTCCTTAGAACAGAAATCCAAAAGATCCTGCACCAGGGGCTTCCTGGTTAACAACTTTAGGAAAAATTGGAGGCAATCTATCCTCTTGGAGATTTAAAGTACACACTGAAAGATCAAAGACTGGGAAGTTCTGTAGTAGAGAAACTTGTTTAACTCTTCTAATTTAGTGCTTCCTAAACCTTTGTAATCATGGGTTCTGTCTGTCCTCAAACATATATTAATATTCTTTGGAAGACATATTAGGGAATGACAATTTATCTTCATACCTGTTCGTTCATGCTTAATTATTTTTTTAATTAATTTATTTCTTTAAATATATTTGTCTCTGCCTACCCCCCACCACTTTCCCTTGCCCCCTCCCTCCCTCCCTCAACTCTTCCCCTTCGGTTTTGTCCATGAGTCCTTGCTATATGTTCCTTGACTTTCCCCTTCCCTTCCTTTTCCCCCACTCCCACCCTCTTTCCCTCTTGTCTCTGTTGGTTTCTTTTCCTTTCAGTGTTGCTGGTCATATTTTCCTTGCATCTTTGTATTGTTGGTTAGGTTCCGCTTATAGGTGAGATCATACGGTATTTGTCTTTGGCCCCCTGGCTTATTTTGCTTAGCATAATGCTCTGAGTTCCATCCATGCTGTCGCGAAGTTTAGTAGTTCTTTTTTTCTTTCTGCTGCATAGTACTCCATTGTGTATATCTACCATGATTTTTTGATCCACTCATCTACTGATGGGCATTTAGGTTGCTTCCAGCACTTGGCTATTGTAAATTGTGCTGCTATGAACATTGGGGTGCATAGGTTCTTTTGTATTGGTGTTTTGGTGTTCTTAGGGTATAGTCCCAGCAGGGGAATCCCTGGATCAAAAGGCAGTTCCATTTTCAGCTTTTTGAGGAAATTCCACACTGCTTTCCGCAGCACAATGGCTGCACCAGTCTGCATTCCCACCAACAGTGGACTAGAGTTCCCTTTTCTCCACAGCCTCGCCAAGCACCTGTTGTTTGTTGATCTGTTTATGATGGCCATTCTGACCGGTGTGAGGTGGTCCCTCATGGTGGTTTTGATCTGCATTTCTCTGATGGCTAGTGATACTGAGCATCCTTTCAAATGTCTTTGGGCCCTCTGTATCTCCTTGGAAAAGCGTCTGCCCAGGTCTTTTACCCATTTTTTGATTGGATCATTTTTCTTCTTGGAGAGGAGTCAAGTGAGTTCTTTATGTATCTTGGAGCTCAAACCTCTATCTGATGTATCATTAGCAAATATATATTTCCATAGAGTTGGTTCCATTTTCATTTTGCTGATGTTTTCTTTAGCTGTGCAGAAGCTTCTTATTTTGATGAGGTCCCACTTGTTTATTCTTTCCTTTATGTCCCTTGCCTTAGGAGACATATCGGTGAAAAAATTGCTGCGTGGGATATCTGAGAGTTTCCTGCCAATGTTCTCCTCTAGGACTTTGATGGTGTTGCGACTTATATTTAAGACTTTTCTCCATCTTGAGTTTATTTTTGTGTATGGTGTTAGCTGATGATCCAATTTCAATTTTTTGCATGTAGCCGTCCAGCTCTCCCAACACCATCTTTGAAGAGGCTATTATTGCTCCATTTTATGCTTCTGCCCCCTTAGTCAAATATTAGTTGCCCATATAGACCTGGGCTTATTTCTGGGCTTTCTATTCTGTTCCACTGGTCTATGGGTCTGTTCTTGTGCCAGTACCAGATTGTTTTGAGTATAGTGGCTTTGTAGTAGAGTTTGATGTCCAGTATTGTGATCCCTCCTATTTTGTGTTTCTTTCTCAAAATTGCTGTGGGTATTCGGGGTCGTTTATGGTTTCATATAAATTTTTGAAATGTCTGTTCTATTTCTGTGAAATGTGTCATTGGTATCTTAATAGGGATTGCGTTGAATCTATAAATTCCTTTGGGTAGTATGGACATTTTGATGATATTAATTCTTCCAATCCATGAGCACGGTATATGCTTCCATTTATTTGTGTCTTCCTTAGTTTCTTTCTTCAATGTTGTACAGTTTTCTGCGTACAGGTCTTTTACCTCTTTGGTTAAATTTATTCCTAGGTATTTTATTTTTCTTGTTGCTATATCGAATTGTATTTTTTTTCTGATTTCTCCTTCTTCTATTTCATTGCTGGTGTACAAAAATGCCTTTGATTTCTGAATGTTGACTTTGTATCCTGCTGTTTTGCCAAGTTCACTTATTAGGTTGAGGAGTTTTTTGGTAGAGTCTACAGGGTTCTCTATGTACACTATCATGTCACCTGCAAACAGTGATAGCTTTACTTCCTCCTTTCCTATTTGGATGCCTTTTATCTCTTTCTCTTGTCTGACTGCTGTGGCTAGGACTTCCAATACGATGTTGAAAAGAAGCAGTGAGAGCGGACATCCTTGTCATGTTCCTGATCTTAGTGGGAAAGCTTTCAGTTTTTGCCTGTTGAGTATGATGTTGGCTGTAGGTGTTTCATATATGGCCTTTATTACTTGAGGAATGGCCCATTTATTCCCCTTTTGCTGAGTGTTTTGATCATAAATGGGTGCTGTACCTTATCGAGTGCTTTTTTCTGTGTCTATCGAGATGATCATGTGGTTTTTGTCTTGTCTTTTATTTATGTGATGTATTATGTTTATTGACTTGCATATATTGAACCATCCCTGCATCCCTGGGATGAATCCCACTTGATTGTGGTGGATAATCTTTTTAATGTATTGCTGGGTGCTGTTTGCCAATATTTTGTTGAGGATTTTAGCATCTATGTTCATCAGCAAAATTGGCCTGTAATTTTCTTTCTTGGTAGGGTCTTTATCTGGTTTTGGGATCAGGGTGATGCTGGCCTCATAAAAAGAGTCTGGGAGTCTTCCCTCCTCTTGGATTTTTTGGAATAGTCTGAGGAGGACAGGGGTTAGCTCTTCCTTAAATGTTTTGTAAAATTCTCCTGTGAAACCATCCTGCCCAGGGCTTTTGTGTGCCGGGAGTTTCTTGACTACTGCTTCAGTTTCCCCAGCTGTTATTGGTCTGTTCAAGCTTTCTGTTTCTTCCTCCTTCAGTGTTGGAAGATTATACTTTTCTAAAAATTTGTCCATTTCATCAAGGTTTTCAAATTTCTTGGCTTATAATTGTTCATAGTAGTTTCTGACGATCCTTTGTATTTCTGTGGTATCAGTTGTTATTTCTCCTCTTTCATTTCTGATATTATTAATTTGGATCCTCTCCCTTTTTGTCTTGATGAGTCTGCTTAAAGGCTTGTCAATTTTATTTATCTTTTCAAAGAACCAGCCTCTGGCTTGGTTGACCCTTTGAATTGTTCTTTTCGTCTCTATGTCATTCAGTTCTGCTCGAATCTTGACTGTTTCCTTCCTTCTACTTGCTCTGGGATTTATTTGTTGTTGTTTCTCCAGTTCTTGAAATTGTAGTGTTAGGTCTTTTATTTGAAATGTTTCTCTCTTTTTTGGGTAAGCTGTATTGCTATGAAATTCCCTCTCAGGACCGCCTTTGCTGTGTCCCATAGGTTTTGGACTGTTGTCTGTTCATTTTCATTGGTTTCCAGACATTTTTTGATTTCTTCTCTTATCTCATTATTGACCCATTCATTTTTAATAGTCTCCTATTCAGTCTCCATGAATTTGCAAGTTGTTGAAGTTTCTCTTTGAGGTTTATTTCCAATTTCAAGCCCTTGTGGTCTGAGAAAAAGTTTGGTATTATTTCAGTTTTCCTGAACTTGCTGAGGCTTGCTTTGTGTCCTATCATGTGGTCTATCTTTGAAAAACTGCCATGAGCATTTGAAAAGAATGTATATTTTTCTTCTTTGGGATGTAAGGTTCTATATATGTCAGTTAAGTCTCTTTGATTCAGTATGTCATTCAGCTGCACAATATCTTTATTAATGTTTTGTTTGGAAGATCTGTCCATTTTTGACAGTGGGGTGTTGAAATCCCCTACTATCAGTGTGTTGCTGTCTATATCTTTTTTGAATTCGTCCAACAATTTCCTTATATACTAGGGGGCTCCTACATTGGGAGCATATAAGTTTACAATGTTGATGTCTTCTTGATAGATTCTTCCTTTAAGTATTATAAAGTGCCCCTCTGGGTCTCTTTTTATGGCCTTTGTTTTGAAATCTACTTTGTCTGATACAAGTATGGCAACCCCGGCCTTTTTTCATGCCCATTTGTTAGGAGTATTTTTTTCCATCCATTTACTTTCAGTCTGTGTAGGTCTTTGCCTCTGAGGTGGATCTCTTGTAGGCAGCATATGTGTGGGTCACGTTTTCTTATCCATTCAGCTACCCTATGTCTCTTGATTGGGGCATTTAGTCCATTCACATTGAGGGTTATTACTGATAGAAACTTACTCATTTTTTCTCTTTGTACCTGTGTTTTTCTCTTTCTCACTCTTTTCCT